CGGGAGGGCCTGGGGCCCCGCGGCGCCTGGAGGGAACCCTTCCGCTCACCTCAGGCAACGAATCCGAGTCCAGCCTCTTCGCGCCGGGGACGCCGGTCCGCGAGTCGCAAGCTCGGAGACGAAGACGGGTAGCTGAAGACCAGACCGCGGACTAACGAGAGAACCGACGGAGGACCGCGGGCGGCGGGAGGGGAGCGCGAGAGAGCGAGGGCGGGCGGCGGCGGGAGGGCGGAGAACGACGTGCGCGCCCCCGAGTGCCCAGCGGGCTCGAGCCGACCCAGGTCGCGGCCCCGCGCACGCGCGCGCACTCACAGCTCATCCACTATTGCTCAGGAGCGCGGCCACGCCCTAAAAGCAAAACCCTTAACCAATCATTGCAGCCGCGTGGGGCATCACGGGAACTCCGGGGCTATAAAAGACCTGGTTGCTATTTTGTACTCCCGGAGTCACTCATCCCTTAACCAAGCAGGGTGGGGCTAGGTGCGCGTGCGCGGTTTTAATACTCCTCCCCAAACTGCCAGCACTTCACTCAAGCGAAGTAGGCCCCGCCCTGCCTAGATTTACGCGTGCGTACTAACGGGCCTGGCCCCGGAAGATCACACGCGTGCGTGGTAGGGACTACGGTGACAGTACCCCGGGTGGGGCGAGGGCCAGTCATGGCGGAGCCCTGGTCTGGGCAGGCCTTGCAGGCTCTACCGGCCACGGTACTGGATGCGCTGGGCGCGCTGGGCAGCGAATTCTTGAGGGAGTGGGAGGCGCAGGACATGCGCGTGACCCTTTTCAAGCTGTTGCTGCTGTGGTTGGTGTTAAGTCTCCTGGGCATCCAGCTGGCCTGGGGGTTCTACGGGAATACAGTGACCGGGTTGTATCACCGTCCAGGTGAGGCTTCCTACAAACTTCCGTGGGCTGGCCGCCCCCGCCCCCACCCTCTCCCGACTGTATCACTGGGTTCCCCAACTATCCTGCAAGAGGCTCATCAGAACTTAACATTGGTTCACGGCCTTACCACCCTGAACGCATCTGACCACGAAGCTAAGCCGGGTACTTGGATGAGAGAACTTAACGTTGTACCCTGACTCATGCCACCGTACTATTTTACGCCAGAATCTCCACCAGTCCACCCATCACATTGTATCTGTTCCTCAGAACTCTCACCTGGCAATACGATTAGTCCCTTAGGACCCTTACTAGACTTCACCAAACAATACCAGTGGTCTCTAACCTGACCTGGGCTGATGCCTGCTCAGATCCCCACCCCAGCCTGCTGCAGCTCTGGATGTGTTTTTGCCTCCAGGTCTGGGTGGTCAGAATGGATCCACGCCTGATGGCTCCACGCATTTCCCTTCGTGGTGAGTAAATCTGTCCATACCGCAACCCCATGCTTGGCATTCCAAGGACACTCCTGTGCTGGTGACAGAGAAGGGAGTTCTCAGGCTATAAGCCCACCAGCTTAATAGCCTTTGCAGCAAGCTTCAAGTCTGCACGTAGAGTTCAGGCTTTGAGTTAGGATGACATCAAGGTCTGGACAGTCCATCAGCATGTTGTTCAGCAGCCTGTAGGACAGGTGGTGGTATTGTCATAATTTCAGAGAGATGAAATGACATGTTTGTTGGATTCCACTCCGCACAATCCCCTCAGTTGGAAAGGCAGTAATCTCTGTCCTTAGCACATTGACCTCATCAGGGTCAGCCTCCTCTTCTGCAAAACATGCACTCACTAATCAGGGCATTCATTCAGACAATCTCTGGGCCCCTATCACATGATAGGGACCACACGAGGCCCAGAGAACAAAGAAAACCCGGGCCCTGCTCATGGGGAGCCAGGGATTTATTAGGGGTGCATGGGGCAGGGGTGGTCAGGGAAGGCATCTCCCAAGAAAGACACCTAAGCCGAGATCAAAGGCCACAGGGTGACAAAATGTACCTGGCAAAGGGAATGGATAGAGCAAGGCTAAGAGGGAAGGATAAGGGTGACATATTAGAATAGGTAAGACTTCGATGCTGGAGCTTGAACGTGAGAGCTTGTTGGACCCTGGGAGCCATTGAAAGACTAACTCAGCAAGGCTGTGATCTGATCTAATTTGCCTTTATAAATGCCTACTTCATGGCAAGTAGATAAAGGGGTCCAAGAGTTAGGGCTAGAGGTTAGAAAGGCTGCCACTGCCCAGATTTCTGTCTTGGAGAAGAGGCCAGGCCCCCTGGCTTATGCCTGTAATCCCAGCACTTTGGGAGGCCGAGATGGGCGGATCACTTGAGGTCAGGAGTTTGAGACCAGCCTGGTCAACATAGCAAAACCCCATATTTACTAAAAATAGAAAAAAGTAGCTGGCATGGTGGTGTACACCTGTAATCCCAGCTACTCGGGAGGCTGAGGCATGAGAGTCACTTGAACCCAGGAGGCAGAGGTTGCAGTGAGCCCAGATCACGCCACTGCACTCCAGCCTGGGCATCAGAGTGAGACTCTATCTCAAAAAAAATAATAGGCCGGGCATGGTGGCTCACGCTTGTTCCTAGAACTTTGGGAGACAGAGGAGGGTAGATTGCCTGAAGCCAGGAGTTTGAGACCAGGCTGGCCAACATGGCGAAACCCCATCTCACTAAATACAGAAACTAGCTGGGTGTGGTGACGTGCGCCTGTAATCCCAGCTACTTGGGAGGCTGAGGCAGGAGAATTGCTTGAACCCAGAAGGTAGAGGCTGCAGTGAGCTGAGATCTTACCATTGCACCCCAGCCTGGGCAACAAGAGTGAAACCCCTTCCCAAAAAAAGAAAAATAATAACAATAATAATAAATAAAAAGAATAATTAAAAAAAGAGAAGGATGGCAATGCCATACTAACATGGAGAACCAGGAAGAAGAATGGGTCTGCAGGGAGAAGGTGCTGGGCCCAGGGTGGGCTGTGGGAGATCAGCAGAGAGGTCTAGATTGTTATGTGACCTTACTGAGCCTAGCTCAACCCTCAAGAAGGAGCTTGGGAGAGCCAATTTCATCAACTGTTCTGCCCATGGAATAACCCCTCTCTCTTCTCTCTCTCCATCACTTTCAGGGAAATGGCAGCAAACGAACCTCTCAAAACCCACAGAGAATAAGGGAAGGCAGCAGAGGGTCTCCAAGGGCATCACTGGGTCTGCTGGCTTCTACACTGGGTTCTGCTACTCCCCAGACCTCAGGGACAACTGCCGGGGTTTCAGGGTTGGTAGCAGGGTACCCAGTGCCTGCAGGGCTGGGCCTGTTCTGCCTCTTGGCCCTACGCCCTCATCCAGGCACTGGGCAAGGGAAGAGTTTGCCTGTACCCTTATCTGGGTGCCTTAAGGAGAGAGATTGTGTTCCTCCTCTCTCAGGGGTGATAACTCAGGAAGCCTCTGGGTTGGGAAGGCCATCAGTTCTTTTGTCTTAGGTTTCTTTTCCTGTCCCTCTTCTCATCCCCGAGATATGATCCCATAAAAATATTTCCTGAGTTGGCCAGACGCGATGGCTCACGCCTGTAATCCCAACACTTTGGGAAGCTGAGGCAGGCGGATCACGAGGTCAGGAGTTCGAGACCAGCCTGACCAACATGGTGAAAACCCCATCTCTACTAAAAATACAAAAATTAGCCGGGTGTAGTGGTGCACACCTGTAATCCCAGCTACTCAGGGGGCTAAGGCAGGAGATTCGCTTGAACCTGGGAGGCAGAGGTTGCAGTGAGCTATGATTGCGCCGTTGTACTCCAACCTGGGTGACAGAGCGAGACTCCATTTCAAAAAAAAAAAAAAAAATTTTTTTCCTGAGAGGAAGCCTGAGGTTGACCAGCTCTGGGATTTGTAAGGCAGATCTGTTTTCTCCTAAGCCCTGAGTTTTCTGAATCCCTGGTTTTGCTTTATTGGCAAGGAGCCAGGGAGTCCTGACCTGAGCCAGACCTTAAGCTCTATGGTTATTTAGCTGGCCATTCAGGTGTAAGGCAGGGTGGTGTCCCTGCTGGCACCATCCAGATCCAGGCACCAAACGCCCACATCCCTGGCCCAATCAGATTTCTCCTGTGAGCCAGGCAAAGGAAATTGTCATCTGCCAACTGTCCTACTCATATTCCTCTCAGTCCTTCTTGGGGGTAAGCTGAGTACCTGAAGGAGCACAGCTGAACCGCTGGGGTAGCCTCCTACCCCCCACTGCTTAAGTGCCTATGGGAATGTGGGTCTGTACCTTGTCCCCTCATAGGATGGTAACAAGCATTTAGTGCACAGTGGCCCCATCATAGCCTGTAGCCTCATCATTACCCATCTGGACCTGGTACAAACGCATGTCACAGCCTCAGCTCCTCCCCACTAGCATCTTCTCTGCCTTCAAGAACCAGGCAGCCCTGCCATGTCACAATAGGCCAGAGGAGTTTCCAAAGGCGTGGGTGGCAAATGCCCCTATAGAAACACCAGTACCTGAAAGCACTGTAGCCCTGGACCTGCCTCCTTCCCTCATGGCCATACTTCTGCTTCCATCCGCTGGGCCACCAGCCACTTTAGTGACCCCTGCCTACTTCCTCCCTGTTGGATGTCACACTTCCATCTGGTTGCCTTTGCCTAAGCCATCTTTGTGGTAGAGGGGCACTGGAATTGCAGCTGTACTGAGGATGATGGTCTTCACAGCCCCAGGCCCACCCACTGATACTACTGCACAGAGTCAGGATCTCACATTTCACCCCAGGCTCAACTGAGGATGTGGCTTATTAAACACGGAAGTGCATCGGTTGTTGTGGTTATTCAGACAGAACAAGGGTATGCATGCATGGGGCAGTGAGAGAGGGAACATCCTGGAAGCTGCTGCCCCTTGGGACCCAGATGCAACAACTTGCAGGGAGGGGAGAGGTGATGCCAGCTCCCTGGAGGAGCAGGGATGGGGTGCCCAACAGGCAATATCTCCATTCTTATAGACTGGCCCCTTTCAAGGAGAACCTATTCCAAGCTTGTCTTGGAGGCCAGGAAGGCAGGCACTGGGTTGGCATTTCAGGAACCCTGTGAACAAAGAACAATGAAGCTAGAGACTGGCAAGTAAGAAGGAAGTTTAATTTTTTTTTCAGGATTCAGTGGAGTCCATTAATGCATACCAGGGGCAAAGGTCAGCCCAGGGTAAGGCAAGTCTGGGAGGAAGCCCACCCTGCCCTACAACAGCCCTGGAGCTCAGAATAGGTGGTGAGCCTGCCATGGTTTGCTACTGGGCAGCACACTAGACCAACTTGGGAATGTGGAAGAGTAAGTCTGTGTTCCCTCAGCCATTCCCAAGTTTACACACAGGCATAGCAGCCCTACTATGAGTCAGCAATCATTCCTGACTTGCAGTAGGGACAATTTGCATTTATGGAAAGCAAACTGGAGTGGGTGGCCTAAGTCCACACCGCCCATGTTATTACCCTTTGCAATGTGAAAAACCATTGTGAGGTAGGTTGGGCAGGTTTTATCCTCCCCACAAAGGTGAGCCTTTGCTCCACAGCCAGCACCTGGCAGAGTGGGAGAGATGGCAGAACCAAAGTTTCTCATTACCCTCCAGCAGGCAAGAGTGGGTCAGTGGGATCATGGACTCAAGACATTGTGTGAGCTGGTCCGTCACTCAGAAGCAGGGTCCTGAAGGAAGCTGGAGTGGCATGAGTTAGGTGGGGGGAATAGGTGGTATGACCCCTCAACCAGACAATTGGAATCAGCCTCCACCTTAGCTGCCCACCCCCAGTGAGTTCTGCCTCAGCTGATTGACTAACCCCTTGTAGGATGCCCTCCAAGGCAAGACTTCTGGAGGGGACAGCCCCACCCTGAGCCATCCTCACTTGAGGGTATAGTAGTTTGTGGGCACAAAGGGCATCTTGCTGACCACAGCCATCTGCTGCTTCCGCCGCACCTCTACCAGCAGCATTGTCCCTGGACGACTGTACTCGCAGGGCACATAACCCATTGCCACATTCTTCTTCAGAGAGGGCGAGGGGCAGCCACTAGTCACAGTACCTGTCAAGCAAGCATAAGCCATGCATTAGCACCACCTTGCAGTGCCCCCACCCTCCTGGGGAAGAGACAAGGGCTTCCCAGCTTCCCTGGTCCACCTACCAATCTTGGTACCCTCCATGTTCAGGATGGGACTGTGTGCCCGCATCGGGGCCCCCTCACACATCAACCCCACACGCCTCCGCTGCACCTTGCCCTTCAGCTGGGGAACAATGACCTTGGCTCCAGGGAAATCCATAGCAGCTCGGCGGCGCTTCCCTGGAGAATGACACATGAGACATAAGCCACAGCCCATAGAAGCCCTGGCCACAGGAGGTCCTTATGGAAGTCCTCAGGTAACACCCATCTAGCATCAAGGCCCCTTTGCTTGGGCTACTCCAGGTTCTATTCCTCCCTTCACTGCCGTCAGCCAAAAAACCACCTCCTACCCCCTAGAGGCCATGCTGCCCACCTGCTGAGCATCTTCAGTTTCTCTTTTCTTTTTTTTTCTTTTTTTTTTTTTTGAGATGGAGTCACTGTGTCGCCCAGGCCTAGAGTGCAGTGGCACGATCTCAGCTCACTGCGAACTCTGCCTCCCGGGTTCAAGCAGTTCACCTGCCTCAGTCTCCCAAGTAGCTGGGATTACAGGCATCCGCCGCCATGCCTGGCTAATTTTCATATTTTCAGTAGAGACGGGGTTTCACCATGTTGGCCAGGCTGTTCTTGAATTCCTGTCCTCGTGATCCACCCGCCTCGGCCTCCCAAAGTGCTGGGATTACAGGTGTGAGCCACCACACCCAGCAGCATCTTCAGTTTCTAATAGGCAAAGCCACAGTGGCACCTTCAGGAAATGGAGGCTCAGGAAGGCTGAGTCACTTGCTCCAGGCTACATAACCTTTGGAGGAGTCATGGGCTGGTTAGTCTTAATAAAGGTCACCCCAACCTCCAGGACCCCATCCTTGAGTGCTGGCCCAGCTCACCCAGTGTCCAGCTGAGGCTGCCCTCCACAGGTGTAGTGTGTTCATCAATGTCATTCCCGTACAGGCAGAGGCCTGCCTCCAGGCGCAGACTATCCCTGGCTGCCAGCCCTGCCAGCTTCACCTCTGGGTTTTTCAGAAGAGCTGTTGCCAGGTGAACTGCCTCCGCTGCCGGCACCGAGATCTGTATGAAACACCAGAGGGCAGATGGGAAGCTCCCTGTGCCACACACCTTCCACCCCTCATGTGCATCTTGTGCCCTGTACTGCCCCTTACACCACTTCTTGACACACCTCCACACCGTCTTCTCCTGTGTAGCCACAGCGGGTCACGCGGCAGCCAGACACGCCAAACACCTCCATCACAGCACTAGTCATGAAGGGCAGTTTCTTCAGGTCATCTGCCACGCTGGCCTGTAGTACTTGGGCTGCAGTGGGGCCTGGGCCCAGGGAGCCAGTGACCAAGAATTCAGGTCCCAGCACCCCTCAAAGCTGGACTAAAGCCTTATTCAGGGACCAGAACAAGCCCTGAGCAAGTCTTACTCTGCAAGTGGGAGAAGATGCCCTTGTCCCTAGCCCATGGAGCCTTGTAGTAGGTAGGAGGAGGGCAAGATACCAAACTTAAAATTATGGCACACAAATATCACACCTTCCACACCTTCTTCTTGGTATAGTCTCTGTGCTAAGCAGTCAATGAAGCCAGTAAGGCAAAGATTGGCTCCAACCCCAGCCCAGCCCTCTCACCTTGCAGAGCTAGCAGGGCATTATCCAACACCTCCAGGCCCACATCTCTGCCCTGGTTCTGAAGCTCCCTGACCTTGTCCTAAAAGACAGAAACACCACAAGAGCATCTGGGGCCACTTACTGAGCATCTACCATGGGCTGGACACTGCAGAGCTGGACAGTAGTAAGACAGTGGAGAGGAGGAGGAGGAAGGAAAAAAAAAAAAGGTAGTAGGCTGGTTCCCATCTTACAAGGTCACATAGCTACTAAGTGATAAGAGATGACCCAACCCCAGGTCTGCCACCTCACACCCTCACCAGAGGGGCCAAGCCCCCCTCCCCATGCCTAATCCCCCACCACCAAACCCTGGCATGCTCCAGAGTGGGCCTGCTCTTGAGTCTTATAGCTGTTCCTTCACTCAAAGAGCCACTGTCCGGGTCCCTTGTCTGCGCCAACCCTATCCTGGACAACAAGGATGATGCTCTATGAACAAGGAAGACAAGGTGTCTAGAACACAGAGGGGGTGTACCTGCATGAGGGCCAAATCTTTCTCCCAGCAGCCAGCGTTGGACACCACATACAGGTGCCCCTCAGAAGTATTGGTTACAATCAAGTCATCTAAGATGCCTCCAGCCTCGTTGGTAAACAGCGACAATGTCCCCTAGGACAAAAGTGGAGGGCAAGGCCAAGGGTGAGCCAGACACACCCCTGAACCCACTTAGCTACCAAAAGGTTATGAACCCTAATGTGAAGGACTCAGGGTGTGAAGGTGCAAGTCTGGGCCCAAGTCCAAGGTCTTTGGTCCTCATGCACCAAGTAAGTTTTCATCCCCTCCCTACCTTGGGGTGCTTCCCTGATCTGGTGAGACCTCTGCACCCCTCCCCACTCTGTACTGAGAGCCCCATCTGATGCTTCATCTCTGACACCTAGGACCTGCTGCTTCACCTATCCAAACCTGGGACGACTCAACCCATGTTTTGCCAACCCACAGGACAAAAGCTTCAAAGGTCATCTTGATGATCCCAGGCTCTTCTAAGCACTCCATAGCAATGCCCCCAAAAAAATTCCTTAGCCTCCTCACTGATGGACAAAAAGCCTGAGGTTGAGGGGGTCACATGAATCACCTGGGGATCTTGTTAAAATGAAGGTTCCGATTCAGCAGGTCTGGGGCAGTGCCTGAGAGTATATTCCTAACAAGCTCGAAGGATGCTGGTTTACAGACCACACTTTGTTGTGTTTGTTTTGTTTTGTTTTGTTTTTAGACTGAGTCTCGCTCCATTGCCCAAGCCAGAGTGCAGTGGTGTGATCTCAGCTCACTGCAACCTCAGCCTCCTGAGTAGCTGGGACTACAGGTGCGCACCACCACACCCAGCTAATTTTTGTATTTTTAGTAGAAATGAGGTTTTGCCATGTTGGTCAGGCTGGTCTCGAACTCCTGACCTCAGGTGATCCACCCACCTTGGCCTCCCAAAGTGCTGGGATTACAGGTGTTTGAGTCACGGCACCTGGCCAGGGACCACACTTTGAATAGAGAGGGGTTAAACAGAAGGGATGGCCAGAGAGCAGCATATTAACCTTGGTTTCTGGCATCCTAGCCTGATGTAGTAAGGCTGGGATATTCCCCTCTCTACAAATGTCTGGGTCTCTGGAAATGACTCAGGGATTCCGTCCCCCAAGACTGCAAGCCCCGAGAGGCTGTGTTTGACTCATCTCTGTGCTCCTAAGCCTGAGATAGGGACTAAGCCCATTTGCTGGCTCATGACTAAGAAAACTCATAGAGCAGAAATAAAAGGGCCCACCTGGTTTGGTCTTAGCTCTGCAATGTCTCCAACCACTAGACTCTCCATCAGCTTCACCCGGTCACTACCAAATATCTTGGTCTGGGGAAGAGATTGAAAGCCTCAGGCCATTGCAACAGCTACAACCCAAAAGGCCACTAATCTAGGATGCATCCTCCCTGCCATCCACAGTGCAGTCCAGCCCACCCAAAGTGACTAACCAGTTTTTTGGTTCTACACGTGGTAAAGGACCACCTTCTGATTTCCTGACCTCCCCCAGTCACTCTGTGCTGGGGGACTGCCAGGGACTGGACAGAACCTAGCACCTTTCTGAAATAACCCCTTTTCCTTTTTTTTTTTTTTTTTTTTTTTGAGACAGAGTCTCGCTCTGTTGCCCAGGCTGGAGTGCAGTGGCGTGATCTCAGCTCACTGCAAGCTCCGCCTCCTCGGTTCACGCCATTCTCCTGCCTCAGCCTCTGAGTAGCTGGGACTACAGGCGCGCACCACCACGCCCGGCTAATTTTTTGTAGTTTTAGTAGAGACGGGGTTTCACCGTGTTAGCCAGGATGGTGTCGATCTCCTGACCTTGTGATCCGCCCGCCTCGGCCTCCCAAAGTGCTAGGATTACAGGCGTGAGCCACCGGAAATAACCCCTTTTCAAACCAACACCCAGCCCAATACGTGGGAGTGGGTGTCAGCCCTGGAAAACCTGGGACATTAAGGCACACCACTTAGTGGGGGCAGACTAGAAGGATGAGATGATGATGAGACCCTCTGAGCTTATTTCCTTGGGGCCACTGACCTATCCATGACACCCCCATGACCTCTAGCTCTTCTGGGAGGGCTGTCCTTGGAATCCAGTTCACAGCAAACAAAGCCAAGGAGTGCACCACTGTAAACAGGGAGGAAGGCCTGATCAGGCGGCCAGCGTGCTCCCCTGGCTCACCTGCAGCATATGAGACACGTCAAAGAGTGAGCAGTGCTGGCGTGTGTGCAGGTGCGAGTCAGTGTGACTGTCCCGGTACTGCACTGGCAGACTCCAACCCGCAAACGCCACCATTTTCCCGCCGTGGGCCAGGTGGAAGTCATAGAGCGGTGTCCTGCGGAGCACGTCCTGCGGGCGGCTGGGCTTAGTGCCACCACGGCCCTAGCCCCCAGCCGCTTCCCTCCCCCACCCTCCAAGATCAACACCCTCTATCCCACCTGTGCGCAACTGAGTGGACGACACAAGGCCGGGGGCAATGCCTGCAAGCGAAAGCCCAGATGGGCCACCACACTTACAACCCTCTGCATCGTCGCCTGCAACAAGCACAGATGGCGCACAGAGGACACCACACTGCCAGGCACGCCGGGAGATGTAGTCCAGGCCTCTGCTCGGACAGGTCTCTCTCCGGAGCAAAGGATCTGAAGGGGGCGTGGGCAGCCCCAAGGGCAGGCTGGGATTTACAGCAGAGAATGCAGGAACTCCCAACCACAGGGAAACAGCCTCCGGCTCTTTCAGCTGGTTTTTCAGGGCAGCTTGGGCAATCCAGAGCTGATTGGGCTGCCCAGAAGAGAGCTAGGGGCTAGACTGCCCCCTGCAGAACCGCCCTGTCTCCAAAAAGTCAAAGTTCCAGAAAGGGCGGAAAGGTCTGAATCATACCTTTAGGACCTCAAGGGAGTAAGGTCAAGTAGGGGTGGGGAAGGTGGAGAGGTCACAGCAGGGTGGAGCCAGCCTGGCAGGTAGGCAGCACCACAGTAGTCTGGCCTCATGTGGATCTCTAGGTCCACAGCTCTCCCACCAGGCAGACACAGGCAGCCAGCAGAGTCATGCATTCCACAAGTATGTATTGATCTTACTGCATACCAGGCCCTCGGATGGGGACACAGCCACAAATGAAGCATGGTCCCTGCTACCACAAGGTCCTCTTCACTCACACACACATTGAGGACTACTGCTCCATCATGCTTTCCAAAGCAGCTGAGTGGGGCTATGTAAGTGACCTTGCAGGTAAAGTCGCCACCTGCAAGAACTCATAGGTGAGAGCAGAGGGTGGCCACCAAAAGGTCACTGAACTCTTCCCAGAAAACTGTTGAGCCGCACACATGTCCAACTTTCCAGGTCCAAGACATACTGCAGTACTGCTTCATAATAGCCACCAGGTGCAAAGCCAGGAAGAACCAGAGGGAAACAGGTTTTTCTCACATGAAGGAAGAGCAGCCTGCATCACTTAATGGTTGTCCTGAGTTAACGGAGGACCTAGGCCTCTTAAAAGGCAACAATGCAAACCCTTACTTGGACCCATTCCCTACCATGGCTGATCTCTCATCATGCTGAGCATCTCTCTTGGAAAGGGGCAGGCCAGGCGTGGTGGCACATGCCTGTAATCCCAGCTAGTCGGGAGGCTGAGGCAGAAGAATCGCTTGAACCTGGGAAGTGGAGGTTGCAGTGAGCCGAGATTGCACCATTGCACTCCAGCCTGGGCAACAAGAGCAGAACTCCATCTCAAAAAAAAAAAAAAAAAGGAGTGGGATAACTGGGAGAAAGGATAGGGATGTGCTTTGGACTATGTCAGATGGCAGAAGGGTCCCAGTTCTTTTTTTTTTTTTTTAAGATGGAGTTTCACTCTTGTTGCCTAGGCTGGAATGGAATGGCATGATCTCAGCCCCACAACCTTCACTTCCCAGATTAAAGAGATCCTCCTACCTCAGCCTCCCGAGTAGCTGGGATTACAGGCACCCACCACCACACCCAGCTAATTTTTTGTATTTTTAGTAGAGACGGGGTTTCTCCATGTTGTTCAGGCTGGTCTCAAACTCCCAACCTCAGGTGATCCACCTGCCTCAGCCTCCCAAAGTGCTGGGACTACAGGTGTGAGCCACTGCACCCGGGCTAGAAGGGTTCCAGTTCTTATTCTCAGGCCCTGGCTTTGCTAGAGACACCTGCCCAGGCCCTATGGGCACACCCACTTGAACATATATTCAGGAGCCAGCTCAGAAACTGAGAGACTCAGGCTGCCCAAATCTTCAGGTTTCCTTCCTAGGCAGGTAGCAGAAGAGTTTAGACAAGAAATTTATTTCTGTGGCATAATACAACTGGAAAGAAAACCACTAGGGGACTCACAGGAAGAAATAAGGTTTCTGTTTCTTCCTCAAGTGTCCCAAATGCCATGGCAGCAATGGCCTTCCAGGTTCATACATGGAGCAGGTTCTAGTAGGTCAGCCCAGCCCAACTGCACTGAGGTGAGGGAGCAGGCAGAAGACAGGAATGTGCATGTTGGCAGGATGGGCAGAGGGCACTCAGGGATTCTCAGTAAGTACAACTGACTGGAGTGTTTTTGGGTAGAAGGAAGAATTGAGTTGCAGCCAGGCGAAGACAGAGCACCCCCCCTGCCAGGAGCTCATGCTGAAGTAACACAGTGAACCCCCGAGAATCTTGAATCTGTGAACGTGGCCCAGACAGAATAGGCATGCAGGCAACATTCGGAATACACAGGAAACCCACTTCAGCCTCTGGTGGCCCAAACCAAGTCTGGGTGGGCACGGAAAGGCCAACATCTTGGGTAGGAGCCACCATTCAAGTGTAGGAGAGCAAGTTCAGGTCATAACAGCCATCCACCTGAAATACAAAAGACCATGAGGTCTGATCTGCTCAGGACAAAGCAAGCCAAGCAGAGGGAAGCGATTACTTACATCAAAACGGCCGATCCTCGCGGAGGTGTGACTGGCCCGGATCATCTCTGTCAGTGCCCACATCTGCTGCACCTCGGAGGATACCCTGCTGGGGTCTGGGAGACCCTGCTCCAGAAGGAGGGGTCAGTGGCCATGGGTCTCTCCCCAGCAGTGCCCTTAGGGCTCTAGAGAGGCCAACCTGGGCTAGGGGCCCTCCAGCTCAGACCAACAACATTCTCAGATGGCTCATGAAATGTGAGGTTAGGGCCTGATGTAGCCCCACAACAGAGATGCCTCAAATCCCAAAGAATACCCAAGAGGAAGATAACACCCAAGGGCCTTGGGCCTAGCCCCAGAATTTTACAGGAAGGGGTCCACCTGGCCTGTGCTGGACACTAGAGCCATTCATACGTGGTTCTTACCTAGGGTGAGGGCTTACCTCACAGAGGAGTGCAGGTTGCTCACAGGGCACTGGGTGGGAGAGCCACTTGGGGAAGGTCATGGAGGGGCTCTGCAAAGCAAAGATGTACTGCCCTGAGTGAGACAAAGTGGACAGCTCTGGGACCAGATTCCAAGGTCCTAGGAGCAGAGAGAAAGGCCCCTGAGCCTCAGACACTGGGAAAACCCTGTTTAGGGAGCCCACAGAGACCTAAAGGGGCAGTCAGACTACCTAAGTTCTCCTGCTGTGCAGACAGAGTCCTCAGAAACACAAGCTCAAAATTGTCTCCCAGAACCTAAAGGCTCCAGCTCTGAAAGAAGCAGATGGTCCCAAAGGTCAGGGGATATGGGGACATGGCCTCATCTCTCATTGTAAGCTTCCAGCATTCACACCCAGCTAACCTCCATGAAGGCCCCATTCACAATCTTTACCCATTACCCACCCCACCACCCAGCTTTCCCAGTCATAGGCACTTTCTGGGGAAAGGGCCAGCCAGCAGCTCAGCTAGTCACTTACCTTTGGTCCCTGCTGATAGATCTGCAGCTCCTCCACTGTGAAAGACAGCCACAGTGGTGATGGCTGCCGCAGAATCAGGCGTAGCTCCAATACTCTGGCCATGTCACACAGCATCTGACACACACACATAAGGACCCAGCGAGGACCCAGCTCACTGCCCAGAAGCCTCCCAACCAGCAATGAGCCAGAATACTGCCCACCCCGCAGGCCTTTGGGAAGGAAGGAACAATAGTCCCTCCAAGGCACTTCCCTGAAAGCCACAGTCCAGGCCAGACTGGCTCCCTCTTCCCTCTTGGTATATTGACCCAATCCCCCCACTTCTGGTAAGTCCTCATCTGGGCTGCCCTGGCCATCCTGAGGCCCAGCTGACCTGATGCTTGAACAGCGATACATACTCCTGGGCTCCCTCCTCACTGTGTGGGTCGGGCATTAGACAGTAGTCTCGCAGGCAGGTCACCCACTTGGCAGGTGTGTGTGCAGAGGTGTGCTGACGGACACGGATGCTCAAAAAAGCTGTGTAGTAATTCTTAAATGTGATCTCCTGCAACTAGAGCACATACAACCCATTACAGCAAGTCAGACCCAGGCCCAGGGCCCGAAAAGCTCAAAGGTCAAAGACGCTACCTCTTCCTTCCCTTTTTTTTTTTTTTTGAGAGGAAATCTCGCTCTGTCGCCCAGGCTGGAGTGCAGTAGCATGATCTCAGCTCACTGCAACCTCCATCTCCCAGGTTCAAGCCATTCTCCTGCTTCAGCCTCCCAAGTAGCTGAGACTACAGGCATGTGCCACCACACCTGGCTAATCTTGTTGTGTTTTTAGTAGAGACAGAATTTCACCATGTTGGCCAGGATGCTCTCAAATTCCTGACCTCAGGTGATCCACCTGCCTCTTCCCCTTTGAATGTACTCATCTACCGAACTAACAATTTCAACAAGTATCACTGGGGCCCAAAGACAATTCTGCTTTCCTAAAGGTGCTCAAAGTCTAAATGAGTAGGTCATGGAAACAAATCATGACTGCAGATCTTGCCGCATGTCCAAGATGCTCCTAGAGAGCAGAGCTCTAACCCTGGAAGAGGCAGAAAATATACATATGAGGCCGGAAGGAGGAAGAGTTCACCAAGTGGACTAAGAAATGTAGAAAATGTGGACTGCGCACTGTGGCTAGTACTTTGGGAGGCTGGGGTGGGCGGATCATTTGAGTTCAGGAGTTCGAGACCAGCCTAACCAACATAGTGAAACCCAATCTCTACTAAAAATACAAAAAATTAGCTGAGCATGCCTGTAGTCCCAGCTACGAGGGAGGCTGAGGCAGGAGAATTACTTGAACCCAAGAGGTGGAGGTTGCAGTGAGTCAAGATCAAGCCACTGTACTCCAGCCTGGGCGATAAAACGACACTCCCTCTTAGAAAAAAAAAAAAAAGAAGAAGAAGAAGAAATGTAGATAATGTAAAAGTAGCATGTACAAAGAATTACCAAAGGGTGAGAGAAGCTGGTGTAGCACTGGAACAGCCAGTGATTCAGCTTGGCTACTGCAGTAGATCTTGTCATTGGATACTCATCAGAATTACCCAAGAAAATGTGTTACCAAATAAATTGTCCAGGCTCCACCTTAGTCTACTAAGTCAGGATTTCCAAGGTTGGGCTCTTTAATTAAGTTTCCCAGCTGACAGTAAGGAACAGCTTGGTGAAGAACCACACACCACAGCACAAATCTCCTGAGGCAGAGAGATGGGGCTGGGCGCGGTGGCTCACGCCTGTAATCCCAACAGGTTGGGAAGCGCAGGCAGGTGGATCACCTAACATCAGGAGTTCGAGACCAGCCTGTCCCACATGGTGAAACTCTGTTTCCACTAAAAATACAAAAATTTAGCCGGGCGTGGTGGTGGGTGCCTGTAATCCCAACAACTTGGGAGGCTGAGGCAGGAGAATTGCTTTAACCCAGGAGGCAGAGGTTACAGTGAGGCAAGATCGCGCCACTGCACTCCAGCCTGGACAACAAGAGTGAAACTCCGTCTCAAAAAAAGAAAAAAAAAGAGACAGAAACAGGTGGGGCACAGACACAGAGGGCTCTCAATGCCAGGCCATTGGAGGTAGGTTTTGCCCTCTTTATTGAGTCATGCAGTGTCCAGTCACTCTATCAACTGATGTGGAAGTGCAACTGGAGATTGGCAACTCGAGTCATTGGGGGGATGGTGGTGAAGTAAGGGACCTCTGGCAGGGACTATAAGAATGGGGAGGAGGCAGGTTTTGGGGTAAATCATTGCTTAGCGATCTCCAACTGTGGCCAGGGACAAAATGACCCCTAACTTCTATTTTGGTTCACTATTTGGTATTTTCAGCAAAACCTAGCTCCCTCTCGCCACCTGCATGCCAGCGCTGTCCTGGATGTGGGCAAGAGACATAGCAGAGAACAAGACAGGAAGCTCAATTCTAGGTAGAATGTGTTAACTGAAGGACTAAATAAATGAATGATTAATTTGCAAGGGCAAGGAAGACGGCAGAAGCTTTCCTGTAAAAGATTAAATGCCTGGGAAACGACCGAGATTCCAGGTCGGCCCCGCCCAGGAGCCTCGGTCGCGCCCACCAGGCTTGCTCACCTCGAAGGGAGCGACGCTGGGGAAGGTGACATCGATGACCAGCACGCCAGGCCGGCCTTGGGAGGTCCGCACGTCGCCCACCTGGAGGGCTACGGTGCCTTTCACATGGCAAGGCACCAAAATGCGGGACATGATGACAGCCGCCGCAACTAAGCGCAACCACCGCTCCAGGCCCCGGACCACCAGCCCTTCCCGGCATCCTCAGCTGAGCCGCAATAACTACAACTCCCGGGAGGCCCCGCGTACGGCCAGCCCAGCCAATCACCGAAGCTCAGGATGGGCCGGGAGTCGGAAGTGCCTGCGGAAGTTTTTTACTTTTTTTCTTTTTTAACAGGGAATCTCGCTCTGTCGCCCCAGCTGGAGTGCAGTGGCGCGATCTGGACTCACTGCAACCTCCGTCCCAGGGGTTCAAGCGATTGTACTGCCTCAGCCTCCCTAGGAGCTGGGATTACAGGTGCCCGCCACCATGCCCGGCTAATTTTTTTTTTTAATTTTTAGTAGAGACGGGGTTTCACCATATTGTCCAGGCTGGTCTCGAACGTCTGACCTCAAGTGATTCCCCCCCCTCCCCCGCCTTGGCCTCCGAAAGTACCGGAATTACAGGCGTGGGTTACCGCACCCCTCCACGGAAGTTCTTCTTCAGCCAATCACTGCGCGAGGCTTAGAGCCTACTCGCGGGCCGCGCCCAGCAACTGCCCAGCCTTTCTGTATGCAAGCCTTTCCGCTCCCTTTGGGTTCCTTTCAGTGCTTAGGGCGGTAGTCTGTTAAAGCCGTATAAACACATAAACACAAATCAGCAGTGATTTGTGTTTCAAAATACTCAAAAACACGTATTAGCCATTGGAAAAAAAAAAAAAAGGATTTGAACACGCGCTTTGCAAAAGTAGATAAATAGCCAAAAAAAAAACCATGAAAAGATACTTAATATTTATAAAGGAAATACAAATTAGAACCTCCACACAGTCATTAGGCTAAAAGTAAAGACTGACAAAGATGTTGAAGTGCTTGGAATCCTCATCCTTTGCTGATTTCCAACCTGGGGTTTTCTGTTTGTTTTAGAAACAGAGCCTCATTCGGTTACCCGGGCTGGCGTGCAGTGCCGCGATCACGGTTCACAGCAGCCTCGACTTCGCAGTGATTCCACCTCAGCCTCCAGAAAAGCTGGGACTATACGCACACGCCACTGCGTCCTGCTAGTTTTGCCTATTTTATTTTTTATTTTATTTTTATTTTTATTTTTTTTTGAGACGGAGTCTCGCTCTGTGGCGCCCAGGCTGGAGTGCAGTGGCATGATCTCGGCTCACTGCAACCTCCGCCTCCTAGGTTCAAGCGATACTCCTGCCTCAGCCTCCCAAGTACCTAGGATTACAGGCGTCCGCCACCTCACCCGGCTATTTTTTTTTTTTTTTTTTGGTTTATTTTTTTTGAGACAGAGTCTAGCTCTATCACCCAGGCTGGAGTGCAGTGGCGTAACTTGGCTCACTGCAACCTCTGCCTCCCGGGTTCAAGCAATTCTCCTGCCTCAGCCTCCCGAGTAGCTGAGATTACAGGCATGCGCCACCACGCCTGGTTAATTTTTTTGTATTTTCAGTAGAGACAGAGTTTCACCATATTGGTCAGACTGGTCTCGAACTCCTGACCTCGCGATCCATCCGCCTCGGCCTCCCAAACTGCTGGGATTACAGATGTGAGCCACTGAGCCAGGTTAATTTTTTGTACTTTTAGTAGAGACAGGGTTTCACCATATTGGTCATGCTGGTCTTCAACTCCTGACCTCAGGTAATCTGCCCGCCTTGGCCTCCCAAAGTGCTGGGATTACAGGTGTGAGACACCGAGCCCAGCGTTTTTATTTTTTTAATTTTTGAGACAGAGTTTTGTTCTTTTTGCCCAGGTTGGAGTGCAGTGGCATGATCTCAACTCACTGCAACCTCCGCCTCCCGAGTCCCAGGGTTCAAGGGATTCTCCTGCCTCATCCTCCTAAGTACCTGGGGCTACAGGTGCACGCTGCCACACTCTGTTAATTTTTTGTATTTTAAGTAGAGATGGGGTTTCAGCCTGTTGCCCAGGCTGGTCTCGAACTCCTGAGCTCAGGCAATCTGCCCACCTCGGCCTCCCGAAGTACTAGGATTACAGGCCTGAGCCACCGCGCCCAGCCTAGTTTTGTTTATTTTTCCCCATGTTGCCCAAGCTGGTCTCAAACTCTTGGGTTCTAATAATCCTCCTGCCTCCCACACCCGGCCTCCAACCACTTTGAAAAACAGGGTCTTTCTTAATTTATACCTACAATATGATCTAGCCATTGCATTCATAAGTATTTACCCAAGATAAATGGAAGCATAACAAAACCAAAGTCCTTTATTCATGATAATCAAAATTTGAAAACAATCCAAATGTCCAACAGATGAACAGATAAACCCATTGTGCTATATCAATACAATGGAATACTACTCATCAATATGAAGAAATGCATAGGCCAGGCAGAGTGGCTCAGGCCTGTAATCCCATCACCCTGGGAGGATCACTTGAGTTTAAGAGTTTGAGGCCAGGCGAGGTGGCTCATGCCTGTAATCCCAGCACTTTGGGAAGCCAAGGCGGGCGGATCACGAGGTCAGGAGATTGAGATCATCCTGGCAAACAAGGTGAAACCCCGTCTCTACTAAAAATACAAAAAAACATTAGCCGGGCGTGGTGGCGGGCGCCTGTAGTCCCAGCTTCTCGGGAGGCTGAGGCAGGAGAATGGCGTGAACCCGGGAGGTGGCGGAGCTCGCAGTGAGCAGAGATCGCACCACT